GCAGGTGAAGGCATCGAGTGCCTCTTAGGTGAGGTGCTGGGGACATGGCCACTGCCACATTCTAGCTGATCAGAGTTGGTGCTGCCCCTGGTAAATGACCTGTGACAATGAAGCCCAGGAGAGCTCCTCGCGTTTTCTTTTCTCTCCTTCCACAGAAGGCCAGTAGCTCTGGTTTCTCCCAGGTAAAATTGAGACCCGGGGTTTGCATTTCTCATGACAGTCGGCATCGCCAACATGGCTCCTCTGCCTTCCTCCTTCTGCCAGGAGGAAGAAGTTTCTCTCAGAGGCTCTTTGCCCTACTTTTTCCTGGTCATCTCACACTGACCCTTGGCTCCTTTGGCTCTTCCCCTGTGCAGCAGCAGCAGCCAGCATGATCTTTTGAAGGCCCTGTGAGGCCAGCCCCTCCCCCCCTTCCCTCCCTCCCTCTTTTCTCCGACCATCAGGTTCTGTCCCTCCTGATGGGGCTTTTGTACATACTCTTCCTGTTATCTGGGAAGTCTCCCTTATATTTGTCTTATTAATTCCTTTTCATTCAGATAGTTTGGAAATGACCCTCTGTGGTGAACTCTGCTGTGTCTGCTCCTGCCCATCGATCAGGCACTCTCCCCACCATGGGACAGAGACAAATACAGCTTAATACCTAGGTATGTGGCTGATGTGGGCAAGTCACTTCACCAGTCAGGCCCTCAGTTTCCTCATCTGTAAGATGGGGACAATAATGGCACCTACCTCACAAGACAGTTGTGAGGATGAGAGAAATCAATACATGACAAAGTGCCTAGAACAGTGCCTGGCACCCAGTTGGCCCTCTGGAAGTATCTGCTAGGTTGTTAATATTAGCACTTTTCCTAAGGGTTTTACTTCAGTAGTTCAGTGATTGCTTGGTTGGTGTGATTTTCTCCCTCATCAGACAGGGAGTTCCACAAGAGTACAGCACGTGTCCGCTTTTGCTCACTATTTGCTCAGCATGAAGCCTGGCCCTTTGTTGACACTCAGCAAATGCTTGTCAAGAGAATGAGTGTGTCCTAACCCCATGGTATCCTGTGGCATTGTGGAGCAGGTGGGACCTATTGGCAGCCAGGATTGGTAGCCAGCTCTCTGAGAATGTTGGATGGTGGAGGGGGCATGGTGGGCACAGGAGGCCTCCATCTATAGAAACCACCCTCACACTGTCCACCCCATACATAGTCTAAACCGAGTAGTATATAAGCTGAGAGGAAGTATATAAGCTGAGTGTTATTTTTGTAACCAAGTTGGAAAAGCTATGCATTTTTAATGTCCCATTTGAACTCTAGCCTCTACTTGCCAGTCTCGCTGCATGACAGAGTGGTTGTCCCTGGTTGACTTGCTCCCTGTGGGTGGCCTCAAGAGCTCATGTCCTGCTTGCCCAGAGTTCAGGGTGTCATGAGCCTCTGGTGTCAGTGGATACTCCTCATCTTCTAGGAGGAGAAAACAAGGCTAAGCCAGGCATAGAGTGAGGGCAGGATGCCCGTCAGGGGGATTCTCTGAACCTGTGTCAGGTTCAGGTTCAGGGGGGAGTTCTTCCTCCTCACCATTGAGGCCAAGGTGTTCTCCTTGAGCGCCCACTCTGGTTCTGCCTACTTCCAGTCAGGAAGACAGAGGCCATACAGCGTATTAGTTCCCATTTACTTAAAAATAGACCTTTCTTTGACATATGTATAACACTGAGTACTTAATCTGTGCTGGGCACAGTGCTACGTGATTTACTTGCATTATTTTGTTTAATCCTCATCTTAAGAGAAGAGATTATGGTCCCCATTCATCAACAAGGAAGCCAAGGCTCATTGTTTGCCTGAGGTTATAGCAGTGGGAGAGGCAAGATTTGAATCCAGGTCTGTATAACTCCCAAGCCAGAGCTCTTGTTTACTACCCAGAGCAGATGGGATGTGTGTATGGAGTGCAGGTAGTACAGCAACCCCAGTGAGGACAGATGGCCTGAACCTGACGAGGCGAGGTTTGTTTAGAGCCTCCACAGGTTGGAGTAGGGACATCTGCAGATAGTTGCTTACGATACCATTTCCCCCCCAAACCAAACCACAGGGGTGGGCTGAGGGAGGGCCTTTGCAGAGGAGAGATGGGATCTCACCTTTCCCGGGGATTGGGGTGGGGGGGGGAAGTAGCCAGTCAGTGTGTGTGTGTTTCATTTGGCACTTACTTTATGCCAGGTACTGTGTCAGATGCTTTAAATGCATTTTTTCCCCACTTCAATCCTTAGAGCAATTGCAGGTGGTAGATTCTGAAAAGTCCATCTTACAGGGAAGGAAACAGGCTTAAGTAGGTAAAGTTGCTTGGTTGGAAACACAGAACAAGTAAGCTGGGGAGCTGGCATTCAAACCCAGGTTTGCCCCTTCAGAGCATGCAGAAGTAGCCCATGCATTCTGAGGCGGTTAGTCGTGCCAATCAGACATGTGCCCGGCCCTTTGTGGAGACAGGTACCTACATCTGGGCCCCAGCAGGACTCACACTCAGGGAACTGCCTTTTTGCATATTCAGGCTGTGGGACATGACTTGGCCACTTTGCTGCCCAACAGCGTCTTTCAAGCACATGTGAGAGCAGAGGCCTGGTGTCCCCAGCCACATCCTGCCCAGCCCAGTCTGCTGCTGCCCTCTGCTCTACAGGGCTGCTGAGTCTGTACCTGCTCGCTGCCTACAGTAGAGACCAGCCATGTTTTGGGCATTGCACATGCATGTGAGATGTACCTCCAACCACCATGAAGCTCGCACATTGTAGGAGAGGGAACTCATGTGTACATAGCATCCAATAAGACAAAAAATGACTGGAAATTGCAGCCAGAGAAATGCCAGGAACTGAGTGTGGTGGCAAGGGAAGGCAGGGAGCAGAGCCCTGTGGAAGGATGGGCAGGATTTCTGAAACCAGGGCTGGGAAGGAGGAGACCCTAGGGGTTGCAGAGCTCTCCGGAGAGCTGCCATTCATTGAACACTGCCATGCGCTCTGCGGGCATTGTTGCCTTGAGTCCTCACACTGACCACTACCCAAGTGGTATCTTCATCACTGCATAACAGAAGAGGAAACGAGCATTAGGGAGGTTGGGTAACTTGTCCACAGGAGTGGTGTAACCAGCGTTGTGACCCTGGTTTGTCTGGATTCATATTTGTATAGGAGAAGTGTGGGAGATGCAGTCGGTAAGGTGACTTCTTGTGTTCCTTAATGAGAGCCTACTTTGTGGTCCCTCCACTCAAGGATCTCACAGCGGTGGGGGAGGCAGAAGATGAAACAGAAGTATCAGAGACTAGAGAGAATGATGCTGTGATGGAGTCTGCACAGAGGAAGGCCATCCAAGTCAGAACTGGGCAGGGGAAGCCAGGGGTGTGGGCCTCCTGGGAGCTGCCCTTTCGACCTGAGGGCTGGGTGGGTGCTGGCTACTGGCAAGGCAGAAGTGGGCCAAGGTATCCTTAGCTGGGAGAATAGTATTAGGTCACCAGGGGAGGTCTCTGTCTCCCCGCAGAGGAACTCTCCTTGTTGGTGAGAGGTGGGGTGGGGTGGTCTGCCACCTACAGTGGCCTCCGTTCCTGTTTGGAAGGAAGCCTTGTGCCAGGTCCACACTGTGGTGCAACATATTAATTAGGCAGCTTCTTTGTCTAGTGGGAGGCTGTGTTAAGTCTTTCTCTGAATGAGCAGGACTGATGACAGTTGTCAAAACACATGGTGCTGGGCTAGAAACTCTGTGGAAACCCCTTGTGCCCCACATGGCCTCTGCCTGAACCAACAGTCTGGAATGTGCTGTTGGGCATCCCTGGTGGCCTGCCCACTTCTACACTGGCCCCTGCAAATTGAGGGGCCAGGTCAGGGTGTGGGATTCAGGGGCTCCTATGAAAAACAGTGGCTTGGGGTTTTCTCAGACTCTGTTGCAGGATCTTGAGGGGGCTGAGGCGTCTGGGCATGTTGGTGTTAACTGATCTGAGACAGTTCTATGGCACTGATGCATGATGACATGCTCCAGCTAGCAGGGGCTGGTTGGCCAGTCACCACCAGGAGGCTGCGTGCCCTGCAGTTGGGTGTTCTGCCATCACTATTGGTGTGTTCTGGTTCAGGACTTAGGCTTCTTGTTTAAGGCCCTTCCTACCAGAAACTGCCCTTTCACCATCCAGCTGATCCTCAGAAACTTCCTCATACCTGGCTGCCTAACCCTGGTGGGGGTACCTGCCTCCCACTTGCCATCCTTCTCCCTTCAAGATGCATTGGGTCTTAAGATTTGGAAGGATGGGGCATGGAATGTTCTTCAGGGCAGAGATAGGCCAGAGTGTCCAGCCTTCAAGAAACCAGACTATGTGGGGGTGTGCACAGGACTCAGAGTGCCTGTGTTCCTGGCCTTTCAGGGGAGGGCTTGCTGTTTGGCCACCCAAAGCTCCAAGACAGACTTAAGGAAACTTTGAATTTATAGGAGGCTTTTCTTTTCCAGCAACGATCTGTCCCTGGTCACATCTCTGCCAGTGATGGGAAAGTGGCAGCCCAAGCTCATACCTGAGAGGAGGGGCAGTGGGTAAAGGAAGCCAGTGCCTGGCCAGGACCTGTGATCTCCCAGGTGGATGCAGGGCTGACCTTCACCAAGACGACATAAGCTCCATGCAGGAGGGACTCTACCTGTCATTTGGACACCCCAGGGCCTGGTGCTGAGTCAGTTTGCGTGACTAAGTGAGCTTCAACCAGCTGTGGCGCCCTGGTCTGATGCATGTACTGGGCTCCCTCAGGGAAGCTTGGTGTTGTGGAAAGAGCACTTGCCAGCAAGGTTGACAGACTTGGGTTCAAATCTGAGCTTTGCCATTTACTAACTGGGTGATCGTGTGGTGGGTTTGTTAACCACCCTGAGCCTCAGTTTCCTCATATCTGCCTGTCTGGGTCACAGTGATCAGCAACAGTGTATGCAAAGGGTGGGGTCAGGGCTGTGGCCCAGCACTGTGGTAGAGAGGCCCGACAGCTGAGCTGGTTCTCCATGGCACTCTTTGTTTTGCTTCTCCAGACCTTCACAGCTTGGTGCAACTCCCACCTGCGGAAGGCGGGCACACAGATCGAGAACATCGACGAAGACTTCCGAGATGGACTCAAGCTCATGCTCCTCCTGGAGGTCATTTCAGGTGAGGCTCTCACTGATGCAGCCCACACCTGGAATAGGTGTCCTGCCACAGCAGGTTCCCAGAGACACTGCTCACCCAGCTAGGTAGGAGAATGCAACCCTTAACAGCTGCAGTAGAATGTGTTGGGGCAGGGGCTTGGTGGGCCGGCTGGGGGCCTAGTTTTGGAGAGCAAAGAAAACTAAAGCTTCTGTCTCTGTCTCTCTCTCCCCCCTGCTCTTTTTTCTCTGTGCACATCTCTCAGGGGAGCGGCTACCTAAGCCAGAGCGGGGGAAGATGAGAGTGCACAAAATCAACAACGTGAATAAAGCACTGGACTTTATTGCCAGCAAAGGAGTCAAGCTGGTCTCCATCGGAGCGGAAGGTAAACTTGAGATGAGCCAGCCAGTTTCTGACATGCAGGCTCTGAGGCACAACATCTGTGGTCTGAACAGAAGTTGTTTTGCTGGTGGCGGAGCACTTGGGGTGCTGAAGTCCTCAACAGGGACCACTATGACTGCCTTTGCTATGACACCAGGCCCACAAGTTCCCCTCCACCCCGCAGAAAGGCCCACGTGGGTGCAATCCAAATCTGCGCAGTACAGTGCACCCAATCACAGGGGCAGGCTGCCTCGGACCTTGGTCGCCCTCACTTGTCCTTGTGCTGGTCCCAACAGACAGTGATAGAAAGCGACAGACACATGACACGGTCTTTTTCTGTGCCAGGAATCCCTTTGCCATTATGCCTGCCTAGTATCTGTGGGCAGGAGGGAATGTAGAGGAGAGAAGGGGCCAGAGGCCCCAAGTCAGGACATTAGGGTAGGGAGTGCAAGTCCAAAGGTCAATGCCCAGACTCTGCTCTGGGTGTACAGGCTGGGAGAGTTTGGCCTCAGAACACCGTGGGATTCTTCTATGCCCCGTGTGGATCCCCAGGCCCACTATCCAGCACCCCTAGGCCCTCCCAGTAGAGCAGCAGGCTCTTACTAGGGTCTCTGGGGTTGAGCTTACAGGCACTTTTGGAGACAAGGCAAGGCCTGAGAGGCCCAGAAGCTCCCCAGCAGCCCAGACTCACAGTTCTGCTCATCAGTCAGAACAGGGTTTCTATGCCCTGACATCTGTGTTGTCCCAGCTTTTAGAAAAACAAAAAAAAACCTAATTGCTGTTAATGACAGGGCTCTGAGTTTGGCCAAGACTCCACGCCAGAATGTGTGTACTGAGTTCCAAGTCTCTGCCCCAGCCTGGGACCTCTCCGAGCAGGGGTGCCAAGCCTTGCATGCCACGGTCAAGGTGGTTGGTGTTTGTTTAGAAAACTCAAAACCTAAAAATTCAATCAGGCCCTGAGATTTTCTGTCCCTGCATGGATCTTTCTTCCGGGCTCTGCTCCAGCCTTCTGTCTCTCACAGCTGCATTTATTTTGCTCAAATGCTAGTCTATAAATACAGAAGGGGTTAAAGGAGAGACCCGTGGCAGTCATCAGTTTTTATCTGGAGAAAAACTTGGTCTAAAAATGTTCCTTGTTCATGCCCAAATTGGTTCACTCCCAGTCTCTATGACCACTGGGCCTTGGGACAAAGCTGGAGGGCAGCGTAATGGAGACATTCTTCAAGCTTCAGAACACCTGAGAACCCTAGCCTCCACCCATCTCTCTGTCCCTTCACATGATCTAAAAGTCGCAGGAGCATGACTTTCTCCCAGTCTCTATGACCACTGGGCCTTGGGACAAAGCTGGAGGGCAGCGTAATGGAGACATCCTTCAAGCTTCAGAACACCTAAGAACCCTAGCCTCCACCCATCTCTCTGTCCCTTCACATGATCTAAAAGTCGCAGGAGCATGACTTTGTTGTGGACAAGAGTTGGAGGCACAGCTGCAGGTCAGAGAAGCAGCTGGTGGATGTCATGAGAGAAACTGCCTTCCTCTCCTCACGGAAACTTGCTAAGCCCTCTGTGACCAGCTTACACTTGTAACTGGCTGGATATGGGAGCTGTGGCCTCTCCTCCAGATTGTGCCCATCCCCTGGCTCTGTAGGGCTGGCCCTCAGGATGTATGCAGCATAGATTTCCTGAGGGAAGAGCCACCTTCGCCCCATTCTGGGAAGGGGCAGGTGGCTTTGCTCACTTTCTGGGTCTGAGGTGCTGAACCCTGGGACAGGATCAGGACAGACACTGGATCCCTCCAGCAGACTGAGTGTATTTCCTCATCCTGAAACCTGAAAGCTGCCATCAGCCATAGGCCCATGGCACTGCTGTGGGAGTCTCTCCACTGTGGCTAATAGAGCCCTGCCTTCCTCTGGGTGTGTCCCTGGGGAAGGTGGGCCCCATCCTATGGATGGCCACTCTACCTCCTTCCAAACCAAGCCTACCCTAGAATTTTCCGTTCCCAAGGGCCAGTGAGCAGGATCTCCCAAGGTGTCTCTCATGGCCTTCTGGAACTCGCCCCTTTGCCTGGCCCCACCCCCTGTGTGGCTGCAGCAGTGGAGTCCCCCATTCCCCCCCCAATCTGGCTGTTCTCCCACTTCGGAGCCATTTTGCTGTGCCCTCTGCACCTGGTGTATTGAGACATGGGCTGTAGAAGGCATTTAGAGGACTGCCCAAGGCACCCTTGGCTGATGGGCTCCAGGATAAGGTGCTGACTGCCCTCACCTAGCAGCAGACATAGGGCTGCCCTGGGTGTTGCCGAAAGGGTTTTTCTCTCAGTTGCTGAAGCTGAAGGATGTGTGGTCCAAGCCCTTGTTTCTCACTCCCAGAAGGTTGAGAGAATGATTGTTTTAGGTTAGGAAGAAAGCATGCAGCCTGTCAGCCTGGCCTTGTGTCCTTCCCTGCTCCCCTCCCTGCAGCAGCAGCAGGTGAGCTTAGTTTAGAGGGAGGTAGTCCCCAAAGGATGGGGCCACCTTCCCTAGGGACATATCCAGAGGAAGGCAGGGCTCTGTTAGCCACAGTGGAGAAACTCTTCCAGCAGAGCCATAAGCCTGTGGCTGATGGCAGCTTTCAGCTTTCAGGATAAGGAAATATGCTATCTGCTGGAGGATCCAGTGTCTGCCCTGATCCTGTCCCAGGGTTCACCTCAAACCCAGTAGCTTATGCCTCTCCAGGGCCTGTTCCAGGTACTGGTGGTTCAGTGGTGAACAGAACAGCCATGCCCTTGTGAGACAAACAGCAGGCAGGCAAGTAGACCAACAGATCCATGTCCACAAATGGTGTTCGGTGTGTGAGGGCCAGAGCAGGGAGACAGGGAGACGACCTGGGGGTAAGGGGGCTCCTTTAGACGGGTAGTGAGGGAAGCTATTTGAGAGATGACAATCAAAAAGGGGCTGGCAGGATGAGAAGGACCAGATATTCGAGGGAAGGGATGGGGGGCACACATTGTAGGTGGACAGAAGGCTGAGGGCCTTGAAGCAAGAAAGAGCCTGGTTTGCTGAAAGGACGCAGCTAGAAAATACTGGGGAGAGAGTGGGGCCAAGGAACATGGGTTTCATCTTGCATGTAGTGGAGCTTTACTTGGGAATGACATGCTTCCGACATGCCTTTTGAAAACGACCACCCTAGCTGCTGTGTAGAGAGCAATTGGAGGGGAAAATAGGAAGCAGCCACATTGAGCTCTGGGGAGACAACAATGGCTTGGACAAAGGTGGTGGCAGTGGGGTTGGAAGGAAGTGGACAGATTCTCAATGAACAGTAGAGCAATGCACATTCACTGTCTATGAGCATAGAGACCAAAAAGAGCATCTTTATCCTGAGGGTGGGGCTGGGAGTGCTCATCTCCTAGTCTGGGTCACGTGTGCATAAAGACATGATTATGCTCAGAGTGGTGAGTGCTATGATGGATGTGTGAACAAAGGGCCAGATGCCTGGAAAGATCTCATAAAGGAGCAGTCTTTTGAGCTGGGTCAAGGGAATGAGCTGGCCAGCTGGGCAGAGGCCTTCACGGCTTCTGCATTACAGGAAACATTACAGAAGCCTGCAGGTACTCAGTAGCAGACTTGTGGAGTGGTGCTTCCCAGAATGTTCAAGTACACATTCCCCCAGTGGGAGGAGATGGGTAGGCCTAGGTGGTCCACTCAGACAACTGATCAGTCAGTGGGAGCTGCTCTCTAGGTGGGGACAGAAGGCTGCCTTCAGGGCCCCCTGAGGGGTCTCCCTCTGGTTTTCACAACTGTTTTACCCTCTGCTCCTCTTCCCTGTGTGCAGAGATTGTGGACGGCAATGCAAAGATGACCCTGGGAATGATCTGGACCATCATCCTCAGGTTCGCTATCCAGGACATCTCTGTGGAAGGTAAGAGACAAGCAGAGGACACCTTTTCTCCCCACCCTGACCCCGCCTGAGTTGGGGAGGGCTAGATTAGGATTCCTGAAGTGTGCTCTTTGTGCTTCATGTCTCTTCCCTGCTTCCTTGGGGTAACTCATAGGGACTGGCCTTTCGCAGGAGTGGTTATGGGGTTACAGGTGAAAGGAGGTCCCCTCCCAGCCGTCCACACCTCTCGCATGGACTTTCTCACCCCACGGCCGTGGTATCCACCTAGAGCACTTTTGCTCTCACAGCCCCCATCTCACGGACCCTCACACAATGTCTGTGAAGCACGCGAGGATGACTGGCCCCATTTCACAGTTCCGGAACCTGAGTCTCAGAGCTAACTAGTTATAGAGTTTGGCCTGGGCCCGGTTCTCTTTCTGCTTGACATCCCAATCCTTGGACCTTTACCTCTGTGGACCTGGTTGTCAGCTCAAGCCATCCAGGAATGGACTTCTTGGCTTCCCACCAAGTACCTGTGTGTACCACAGGATGAGAAAAGCCACCCGGGTCAGCATGTGGAGGGGGCTCCCATGCACCAGGTTGCATTGGTAACCAGGACTGACGTGTTCCCTGCCCTTATAGCAGAGAGGACAGCTGAGCTGTCCACGGGGAACAGAAGCAGAAGCCCTTTCATGGCTTATTTTTTAACCTTTTCCAGAAGAGGCCGAGGCCGGTGTCAAGGGCTTCTCTGACAATGTGTTCTGGCAATTAAAGGCACAGGCTTTGTGGTCAGGCACACGGCATAGGTTCAGGTCCTGGGACAGCCCTGGGCAAGTGACCTGTCAGGACTGTGAGGATGAAACTGGGCTGTGTGTATTGGCAGAGGCTGGTCCATATCCGGAGTGGGAGTAGCTCTCACTACTGTTGTCACTGCTGCTCTCGTTATGTCTGATGTTCTCTCCCTTGGGTTTTGTTTGACCCTCATGCCTGAGGCTGAAAGTACCATCCGATTTGGGCTGAATTCTGAGGGTTTATTTTTGAGCCAGTGCTCACTGTACTTGTGTTTTGCAGAGACCTCTGCCAAGGAAGGGCTCCTTCTCTGGTGCCAGAGAAAGACTGCCCCATATAAGAATGTCAATGTGCAGAACTTCCACATCAGGTAAGTCCCCGGCCAGAGCACCCTTGGCCCATCTTGTCCTATCACTTTGTCACAGGACCCGAGGTGCTGTCCTCCCTCCTGCCCTCATTACCTGTGTTTTTGTCATGGTCTGTGAGATGCCAGCCCTCAGTGAGTCCCTCTCCCTGGTCCTCTCTCAGGAGGATGGGGAGGAGGCAGCTGCCCAGCCGTCCTGGGCTGAAGGCAGTAAGGCCCAGCACTCTGCAGGCCTTATAGAATCTTCTTCCTCCCCAAGCAGGGTGGCTCTCAGAAGCAACAACAACAAAGCTCTTCCTTCATTTTGACCTTTCAAGAGAGATCAGCTGTTAGAGTTCCTAGTGAATTTAGTACTGGGGAAAATGTGTCCTGTGGCTACTAAGATGAACAAGACTCAACCCTGCCGTGAATCTCCTTTCCTTCAGGGTGAGAGAGGGAGATGAGATGTGTCCACTGTCGCCCTAAGTGAGTCAAACATAGTCCCTGCACAAGAAATCCAGAGTGCAGCAGGAGGTGTGGTTGCCTGATGGTTAGGAGCACAGGCTCTGGGGGTGGCCCTGAGGCCAGTTCCATCTTGGTCCTGTGACTTCATCTCTCTGAGCCTCTAGGGCAGGGCCCATGGAGGCCCCTCTGTGTCCTCGGGCTCTTCAGTGCCCCACGCTGGTCGTTGAGGGCCGTTCCCATCATGCTGTGCCCTTGGCAACACGTGGTCCCTCCCTTGACCACTGTTCTCTGTGGCTTTTTTCCATCTCCTGCCACCATCTGGCTGATCCTCTCCATACTCCTCATTCATTTATTTATTTAAAGAATCAGTAAATACTTGTGAAGTGCCCGTTTCGTGCCACAAGTGGGGCAACAGCAGCACAAAACACAGTCCCTGCCCTTGGGAAGTTTACACTGCAGCAGGGGTGACCAGCAGTTAACAAAGGTGCAACAACATAATTTCAGATAGAAGTGCATATGACCAATCTAGCTTGTGACCTTGTGGAGGATCATTTTCCTCCAGAGACCCTCTTGCTAAGCCCTATCCTGGCATTTAGCCGACCAGTGGACTGGCCCTCCCTTGGGTCAGGTCAGCCAAAGTGTGGAGGTAATGCAGCGCAGGCACCACCCCTGCGGTGTGCCTGTCCATTTCAGTGGGGCCTTGTGTGTCTGGTCCTTGGCAGGTCAGGCTGCCCCAGTAGCCAGCAGTTATAATATATTTGTCATATGTCAGGCACTAGTCTAAAGCATTTACTCATTTAATTCTCACAAGAACCCTATGAGGTAGGTACTGTTGTTATCCCCATTTTATAGGCATTGAAATTGAGGTAACATTATGTGGCTTCACTGTCCAAGGCCACACTCTCAGTAAGTGGAAGAGCGAGAATTTGACCCCAGACTATCTGGCTCCAGAGGTCATGTGCATAGCCATTGTGCCATCCATCTCCCTGCAGTACCTGGCATATGCTATACTTCCAATAAACGGGAATTAATTATTGCTATGGGTGCCCAGGGCCATTTGGTACTCCCATGACAGTGCAAGTGCCCTCTTTGTAACCTTTGGCTTTCCATTCCTAGCTGGAAGGACGGTCTTGCCTTCAATGCCCTGATCCACCGGCACAGACCAGAGCTGATTGAGTATGACAAGCTGAGAAAGGTATGCGTCTTGAGCTCCCCTTGATGGCCCACGGACACCCTGAGTCTGATGCCCCTAACTCTGGATCACCATCCATCACTGGCCTTCAAAGCTGGATTCTGTGCTCTGATGGCAGGCCGGGAGATCCTCATCAGCTTCTCCTAGACCCCTCACTCAGGCTGACTCACCTCCCTTACTCCCCTTGGGGATTATCCCATCTCCCTCCATGGGCATTGCAATCAACCTAGGGTTACTTTAAGGCCTGGCCAGTCATGCCTTCTAATTCCCTTTTCTTAACCTGGATTCTGGAAGCATTCTTCCTCTCTGCCCAAGAGGGAGGAGGGAAAGGAATTCAAACTATCACCACTGGCCAGCATTTCCTTTGCAGGGTCCCATTCTAATCTGCCTGTACAAACTATCAGATCCAGTCCCTGCCCTCCAGCCTAAGGGGGAAAGCAGGACAACTGGGTGCAAAGCAAACTGGCCACACAAGGCCATGCACATGCGCTCAGGCCCCAAATGAGGGTGGCAGGGCATAGGGTCAGACAAATGTGTGGAGGAAGGTGGTGCACCTGAGCTGGCCTGATGGGGAAGGGCCCCTGGAGGAGGAGGCAGCTTAGAGCTTGGGGAGGGCATTCTACTGGGGGGGGGGGGGGGGAAACCCGGGCCCAACCCAAGGGGGCCCCTTTAAGGGGGGGGGGGGGGGGTGTGGGTGTGGGGGGGGGGTTTTTGGGGGGGGGGGGGGGCGTACACCTGCGCCTAGCCCATGTAGGCCACTGTAAGGGAGGCGGCGGAGGTTTAGGGTGCAGTGGGCCTCATCCTGTAAGCAGTGTGGAGCTCATGAGGGATCTGGGGCGGGGGCAGCATGAAGGGATACTCTGGGGAGGTTGGAGCATGGAAGCTCCTGGTTTGCTCCTTTACTCCACCCTCAGAGCTCTCTCAAATCCTGTGGACCACACCTTCCTGTTTTCAGGACAGGGGCTTAATCTGAGGCCTGTGGATGGCTGGAAATTATATGAAAAGAGTGCAGCTGCATTTTTCTGGAGAAAAGGCCCATAGTTTGCCTTCAGAGATTTAAAAGGCACTCCTTTGGTGGGAATTGAATTTATCCAGGGTGTGCCCTCCTCCCTGCACAGCACAAGTAGCTGAGAACTCCCTAAAGAAACCTTTCCAGCCCTCCTCCCAGACCAGCCCTTATTCCCTTCTGCTCTTGCATCCTGCACCTGACGGAGTTCTCCCCACTTCTCCCACCTGCCTCCCTGCAGGACGACCCAGTCACCAACCTGAACAATGCCTTCGAAGTAGCTGAGAAATACCTTGACATCCCCAAGATGCTGGACGCAGAGGGTAAGTAAATCCCTTTTGTTCAGTCAACACCGTGTTTCTTGGGGGCTTCATCTGTCCAGGACTGGTTTTGGCCAAGGGCCTGAGGGTCACCTTGGGGAGCTGACAGAGCCAGTGGGAAGGGCTAAGTGAATCTTGGTGAACCGGGGACAGTCTTGTCACCCTGGGAGCCAGAACTAGACAGCCTGAGCCGGCCAGCCAGACATATCCAAGAATGGAGAAAGTGAGGAAGAAAGAGCTTGAAGGATTGGCCAGGGCCCAGGGAGGGACCAGGTGGCTGAGGAGGGCTGGCTCCAGGCTTCTTGCGAGCAACCCTGGCCTCTCCCCTCCCTGCCTGCAGCAGGCACAGAGTCTGGAGCCTGCCAGAATGGAGTATTTGTTTTTTCCTTTTCCAGTTTTGTTCCATTTCCCAGCCAGGACCCATGCCTCTGGCTTCTGGTGGCCCTTGGAGTTGACTGTCCAGCAGCCCCTTGAGGCCATTCTCAGAGAGAGGAAATGGCCTCATTTTAATCCAGTTCCCACAGCGTTGGCCTTTCCAGAGACCGTGGGGGAGGGAGGGGCTGAAGGTGTGGCCAAGCCCGCCTAAGTCACCAGATTCATTGAGTCAGCTCTGAGGGTCCTTGTAGCATGGCTGTGGCCTTGGGAGCCTATGGATCCTGGTGAGCTACACCTCCCCTCCACCCCCACTTGGGCGGTTTAACACTTGTTGTTCACTTGCAGACATTGTTAACACAGCCCGGCCCGACGAGAAGGCCATAATGACCTATGTGTCCAGCTTCTACCATGCCTTTTCAGGAGCGCAGAAGGTACCAGGCAGGGCCAGGCAGGCCCTCCTCGCCGCCACCGCCCAATGCTGCTGCAGCCTCTCGCCTCCCACACTCACCTCATTTCTCTTGCAGATGGCAGTTGCCTCTCTCCGACTGGAAGCCACTCCCCCCACTCCTTGGCAGTGCTGCCCATTCAGTATTTGCTCACAATAGCTATTGAGCAGCTAACCTGTGCCAGGCTCTGTTCCAGGCATTGAGGATACAGTAGTGACTGAGTCAGACAAGGCCCCTGCAATCAGGGAGCTTCTGTTCCAGTGTGTGAGACAGATAGAAGGACAGGATGGTGGGGTAGAAATGGCTGAGGGCAACTTCTAGCTGGGGCCATCTTTGGGGAGGGGTGACGAGAGCAATGAGCAGGGTAAACCTGGAGCAATGAGCAGGAGCTACCAGATGAAGATCTGTGGCAAAGGCATTCCAGGCCAAACGTAAAGCAAGTACCAAGGCCCTGAGGCAGGAATAAGCTCGGCTTATTCACGGAGTGACTGGAGAGAAGTGAGCAAGGGGAGGAGAGTGAGGTGAAAAGCAAGGGGACGGCCGTGCCACACAGGAGCATTGTAGTGTGGGATAAGGAGTTTGGTTTACTCTGAGGGCCACAGGAGGCCCTTAGGGGTTTTATGCAAAGGTGGTAGGTAGTCACTCATGATACTGTCCTACTTATGTCTTCAGAAAGATCAGTTAGCATATGAGCCTTCCAGCCCAAAACAAAGCTTCCTTTATAGAGCCAGTGGCTTATTTGTCAGGAACCCAGGCCTGACTAGAAAAAGAATACACCTCAATTGGACTCTGTCTCCCCTTCCTCAAAACCTCGTCAAGATGTTCCCACAGGCCTGAGCTGGGGACTGGCTTCCAGTCCAGAGCAAGCACTATTTCTCCCGCATGAGCCTTGGGCCGGCCCGGCCGCCCTGCCTGCGTCTTTCACTCTTCTCCTGCCTCTCTCTCTCTGTCTCTCTCTCTGTGCAGATATTGTGGGCACTCTGAGGCCAGATGAGAAGGCCATCATGACTTACGTGTCCTGCTTCTACCACGCTTTCTCGGGGGCTCAGAAGGTGAGCTGGGGCGGGGCACCCCTCACTGCTGTGGCTGCACATATGCCCTCACCGTCACCCTTGCATTACCACCATCCGTCAGTGATTGGAGCCCTGGCCATGCCACAAGGACTGACCCTGCTGGGCTCTGACTTAGAAGGTCCACCTGGGGCAGGTTTCCTGTGACCGTCGGGCCTCCAGTGCCTCCCTCCATTTGGCCAATGCGGACCTGTGCTGAGGTGACACAGATTGTCTCTCTCTGAATACAGTCTACCCTGTGAGATGGGTGATGGCATCTCAGACTATCAGACAAGGAAACTAAAGTCCAGCATCACAATAGGTGGCAGAGCTGGGATTTGACCCTTCAGCTATCCTGCTCCTTTTTTCCATGGTTTGCATCAAGGTCGTCTGCCTGTTGCACCCCTTCACTGGGGAGCACTGGGCTTTTCTGGCCCTCCTCTGCAGGTCCTTCCCCTCCCAAACTCCCAGGAAAGCTTTAGTGTGAGCGGGTTGACGACCTCTCTGAGGCTCCACCTGCCGACTCAGCTCTTCCGGCCCCTGTCCCTCCAGAAGCCACACAGAGCAGTCAGAAGCATTTGTTCCCAGCAGCAGCTCTTGCTGAGGCTGGCTGGCCTCACGCTACCCTGGAGGCTCCTGTCAGGAGCCCTCAGTTTCCACATGGAGGCCTGGGCACCTTGCTCCCTCCACTCACGTCTCGGGCAGCAGTGTACTTCCGATGACTTAATTTTGTGTTAGTAATTGGCAAGTGGGCAGAGAGAAGGAGGAATCACTTCTCGTTCATTGAGCACTTACTACATGCCAGGTACTCTCCAAGGACTTCACATGCACAGGCTCTAAGACATCCCCGCATGTGCCCCAGGGAGGGCTGGGAGCCCCATTTAAAAGGGAGGAATTCAAGTTGAGAGAGGCAGAGAGCTGTTCCTAAAGCGCAGGATAAGGGCTACACCTGCTGCCTTCTGTGGGCCACCTCCTTAGAGCCCCGTGTCCAGCAGGGGCATGACTCATGGGCAGTCGGTATTCAAGTTGAGAGAGGCAGAGAGCTGTTCCTAAAGCGCAGGATAAGGGCTACACCTGCTGCTTTCTGTGGGCCACCTCCTTAGAGCCCCGTGTCCAGCAGGGGCATGACTCATGGGCAGTCGGGCCTGGCCCTACTCTGTCACCTCTCAGCAGTGTGACCTTGGCTAAGTCACTTCACCTCAGTGTCCCAATTTGTGAAATAGGGATCATACTAGTACCTGTCTTAGTATTGTTCTGGGGGCGAAATGAGCTCCTGCAGGTGAAGGGCTTAGAACAGTGCCTGGCACAGTAAGTGCTCTGTAAATAGTTGGGGAGTCATAGCAGCCTGTAGGGATTGTGCCAGGAGGGGAGGGTGGTTCTTTCAAGCACCCTGGCCATATAGATGTGTTTCACAGTTGCTTGACCTCCTACCCAGCATGTGACTGGAGCTTGTGTTTGGAGTGTTCAGCAGGAAGGCCCAGGCAGGGAAGATAGAGAACCCCCAGCCCCCACCCTAGTAGGAAGGCAGGGTGGGGATGGTCAGCAGTGGAGGATTCCTCACCACCAACCCGACTTACCGCACATTTGCCTTGGACGTTCCCCATGGGCCCCGGGCCAGCCTCTCTGCTCTCCACATTGCCCTCGCTGGATTGGTTTTTCGTCTACCAGAGCTGCGCCCTGTGCTTAGAGCACTTAGGTGTGGTGCCCAAGGGGAGGCCCTGAGAGATCTGTGGGAGTGGGTACCGGCAGGAAAGCACAGGCCAAAGAATTTGCAGGGTTTTGAGGTGGCTGGACCCAGATGGCCGGCCACTCTTGCGAGAGAGCAAACAAGGGCCAGGCTGCTAGGCATCTGGCCCCTTCACGAAGGAAAGTGCTAGATTCAACCTCCTCCAGCTTCCCCTAACCTCTGTTTAGTTTACTTCTTGGGATAGCCTTATGATGCTTTTTATTATTGCTGCTGTCATTTCCCCAGACTCAATCCAATCTCTTAAAAGAACACTTTGTGGGGGCCGGCCCGGTGGCGCACTGGAGAGTGCGCAGCTTGGGAGCGCGGCGGCGCTCCTGCCGAGGGTTCGGATCCCATGTGGAGACCGGTTCCCGCTCACTGGCTGAGCGCGGTGTGGGCGCAACACTGAGGGTTGCGATCCCGTT